TTTTATTTATAGCTATTAATATTTGTTTCTTACTAACCAAATTGTTAAAAATACAAAAATGTACATGGTGTTCTTAACCTTCCATGGCACAGATATCTATTCAACTTTATTTTTATGATTCCTCGAGTTCTATAAATTCACGAAAACTCACAGCATCTCAGGTCACTAAAATAAATCTTAGCATTCTTCTAGTATTAGATGTCTCTACTATGGTGTCCCATATCAATGAATAACATAATTAACTAGTAAATCTCTGAATTATCTTACATGATACTAGGATGAAATCGTATTCGTCTTATTTTAAAATTTACTAAATACATTGACACCTCTGACTCAACTTGAAATTTCTCAGCTAAAGTTATATTTATATTTAGCTTCCAACCCTTATTTTTCTTTTATTTACTAATCAATTTTCATTATTCATTATATTTAACCATTTTTTATATCAGATTCCAATGTGAAATGGTTAATTGTTTCAAATTAAAAAAATTATAAAGGTACTTCAGAAGAAATTTTGAAAATTAGGTTTTTAAACCCTGTAAGAAAATATCAATCAGAATAAAACATACATTATATTAAAAACCGCTTAATTTTACACTCATATACTGAATTTATTGAAAATCGTTGAGCCCTTTTTGAAAAAATTGGAAAAATGTGTAAAATCGGTGATATAAAGTGGCACTTCCGGTTAACCGATTTTGATAAAAAAAGTTGCTTTAACATCCCTGGTATGTAAAAACCTTAAATAAGCAATTTAAGTTATGTATAACATAACATTTATGAGCTAGACTGTTCACATACAGAACATTTTGCGGGATTTGGTCAAAACATGTATTTCTGTTGAAAACTTCAAATCAAAAACGTTCATGATCGCAATACTTGACCTTACTATATATTACATAAATATAATAGTGGATTAATAATTTACTGTCATGGATATATTGAAGAGGAGTTGGTTGGGATGTTCGGTCAGAAGTAAATATAATTCATTTTATTTTTGATTTGTTACTTGTGACTGAGCACCCTAACCAGCTCCTTTTCAATATTACATATGTAGGTAAGTGAAAGTAAAACTGTCCCACTAATTCTCATAGAGGGTCTTGGGTTCATATCTTTGTGATGAAGTACCATTTTTGGTAGGCTTGCACAAGGAGATTATTTCACCAAGATTAGGAGTATCAAATTTAAGTTCAAAAATTGTATAAAGCCTGGGAGTATTGTAGGAAGATCGCCTCACCCTTCTTTCGGGTTTTGTCAATCCAAAGGTAATGTGAATGAATAAATAATTACTTGCCACAGCCAGACTCAAATCCAGAACACAATGCCTTACTCACTAAGCTATGCCAACATTGTATAAATTGTAAACAAAAATAATGTTTTTGCTGTAAGGGGTTTCTTTTCATAATTTATCAACTCAACATAAAAAATTAGTAAATCTTTCAATTTTTCTACTGCTTGTTTTAATGCTATTTAACTGTTTTTATTTTATGTTTAACTGTTTCAGTAACCGTTATTTACTGTAAAGAAATATGTTCCCTTATTATGCAATAGAAACTGCACTATAAATCAAACATTGTGCAAGAGAAATTCTGTAAAGAAAAGAAATATCTCGACTAAAAAATAATAAAAAAAAGGCTATTAGTTTTATAATATCAAGTTGATAATCAAGGAATTAAGATTTTGAAAATAAAATATTACAATTATTATAGTTATGCCTTTCAAAATAATAGAACAGCAATACCATCAGTATAAATATAATTATTGAATTTGTTCGTTGGAATTAAATAAATAAAACTTAAGAAAAAAAATCTAACCTAGAGATTGGGATGCAGCAGATCCAAGCAGTGTTGCAGCAAGTGGGTTCGCTGAACCAAGAGCGTTCGCAGCAGCACTGAATGGAGAGGTAAGAGAAGCGAGGTCGCCTCCACCTCCGCCTTGACCTATTAAGTTACCGACTACATCCATGTCGGTAAATGATTGTTAGTCAATTATTAATTTGAAATATACACATTTTTATAAAAATACGAATTACTACAAAATAAATTTAGTGGATTATCATTGATGAAATTTAAGTATAATTAAATCTTTGACTACAAGTTACAAATTTCAAAATTATCAGCATTGAAAGTTATTAATTTAGTTCTTACATTACATGTTTATTGTTTAAAGAAATATTTTATTTCCCTACACTTGATCAGTTTCTGACATTTGAATTTAATCAAAAAAATTTGAATTAAGATTTTAGTAATAAAAAATTATCCAAAAAACACAGCATACGATTTAAGAGTCATTTAGGAGAATAAGAATATGGACAGCAATAAATTCAAAATTTTAAATGAACATACAAATGAGGATTTAAGCCCACTATTAGTTGACTATTATTAATATAATTAGCAATTTATGTCACTAAACCATTTTATAGAATTTAAATTTGTTAATGCATGAATTGAAACCTAATTTATTCATGGGGAGAAAAACTGAGTGCAGAAAAAATTAATGGTACCATATGGATACTTTTTTTGTCAAAATTGCCTCAATCAAAATAGCACATGGCTGGAAGTTCTCAAAACGTCACATCAAGCAACAAAAATACCAAAACTCATTGGGAACCTCTGGAGCGACAAAACCAAAATTTTATTTAAGACCCTAGTTGAGCATTATGAACTATGGATTAAAACAAAGGATAAATAAAAAATAAAGAATCAAAGACTGCAAAAAATATAATTTATTTTTCCAAAATATTTTGCAATCAACGAATGAATTAAAAAAAAAAAAAAAAAATTGCACAACATTTAAGAGAACATTTTTTGCAAGACAAACAGGAGTTTCAACCAAGACAACAGGGTTCATCAATTATCCTATAAATCTATTTGTACTCAAAATTCTACAATTTACACTCCTTAGAACAATTATAATATAACTAACATGAGATTATAACTACGACTTGAAAACTAAAATTAAATAGAATGTGTAAAAGTTTAATTATGTGTATTCAAAATACCAATAATTCATTTTGTAACTTGTAGATAAATAAATCAATATTATCAAAAGATACAACTGTACATGGTATCTATATTTATAAACTGACATGAAATAGAAATTAAATTACTTAGAGTTAATGATAATGGTCATTTGCACATAAATTTACTATATAAATTATTTTTAATAATTTATTTAATAGCACTGACTATAAATGAGGAAAGTATACAACGGCGTTAATAAGAAGGCTCAGTTCAATTTACTAATGAAGCTAATAGAACAATAATGTTAATACACGATTGTAAGAACATAACAAGAGCTGATATTGATGGATGAATCATTTGAACCAAAAGGTTCGCATGAAAATATGTCTTTACAGTCTTACTTCCTATTATTCCTACTCCCTAATAAAAATTTATATATAAACTTGAAAATTACTATAATTCAATATAAAATTTATATTTAATAATTAATTATTATCTTATTATTGATTTGTTTTATATAAAAAAATTCCATACTTCAATTTTTGGCATATTATATACAACTATTTACGAACAAGGTTATATTACCATAATACATGTAGAGATAGACTGATTCGATAACTCAGAGGGAAAAAAAAATCTAATCATATTGAGCTGAATGAATGCCAAAGAGAATAAAAAAAAATTTAATTATTTGCTGATCAGGTGGTAATCGCAGAAAAAAAAAAAGCAGTTCTGAAATCTTAAAAGCTTGACAATCTTGCATTATAGTTATAACGATCTGAATCCTGAGCCCAGAAACTACTTTTCCCAAAATCCATTCCAAACTTTACAATTGAAAATGACTATAAATATTTATTTCAAAAGTTTAGATAAAAATAAAAAGAAATTAGATTAGTAATATCTGAACAATTTTTTTTAATTTGGCATGTATTTATTGTAAAGTAATTGACTGACCAAAATGAGAAAACTGTAAGGTAGACCAACTCAGACCTAAGATAAAAAGAAGATAAACCAATTTAAGAGATAAATTTCTCACTACTCATATTTTTGTAAAATTGTAACAATCGCGATGTTGATTTTTTCTTTAATGGTTATTAAAAGAAAAGGATTAACATTTAATTGAAACAAGTAATGGAAAGAATGGTACAACTCATTCAATTTTTTGGGAGTTTCTTATTTAAATGAATATAAGATAATAGTACATCATGGCACACCCACTTCATACGAACTATCTGTTAAAATTAAGTAGACTAAAAAATGCTATGCCAAATAAAACTGTTGTATTATACTGAAATCAGTATTCTTCAGTAAAATATAGCATATGAAATAAGAAAAGTGCAAATGACCAATGCAGTATAAATATCTCTATGCTTTTTTTAATGGGTACCCCTATGACTTCAATTACAAAATAGAATTATACTTGATAATCCGAAGAGCTTGAATTTTTAAGCAAATTTAATAATTGCATTAGCCCTTTATCTTTAATTTTTAAATAAAAATAAAGTCATTTAACCAATCATAAAATAAATTACCAAAATATATGTTGCACCTCATCAAATAAAACGAGTAGGTTTGAATAATAAAAAACTAAAGCTTTAAGACAACAAATTTCGGATTATCAGAATTCACACTACTTGTAAACGGACTTTGGTAACTCCATTGTTATGAATAGGGTTGTAAATATTTAAAAAAAAAATTAAAATAGCAATAGAAGTATCCATAATTTATAATTGGAATGCTTATAATAATAAATTGAATGACTTGGACCGATGTGAGCATAATTTAATGTAAATTAACAATAAAAACAATTTAATTAGCAACAGAAACACGTTGCATTATAAATTTCCTCAGTAAGGAAATAAATTCATACTCGATATTAATATTCCACAGCAACAACTGGGTAATAGTATCAGATTTAAAATACTCACAGGATATATTAAAAAACTTTACAAATCACACATTATAGTGATCGGTGGAGAAATCATTAAAACATATGGTGAATGATTACAATGTGTACACTCGAAAATTTTGTGTAACATCTAACATTAAAAAAAAAAAAAAAAAAAAAACAGGTTATCAATATCCATCTAAAATAAATTTGGATGTACGACTCCTTTATTATTAAAAATATATATAATAAAAGAAAAGTAGCAGTATTCCTGCTATTCAAAGTAACATAGATAAAAACAAAACAATAAGGGGGTATGGACTTCTTTAATATAGGCTTGTGAGTGGTTTTTGAGAGAGAAGTGGAGGGGGGGTAGGCTGAGATTGGTCAGCAGTGAGAAGTGGCCTCAACTGAGAAGACTGAAGGTACATGCCTAATGCTGCTGCTGCGAGAGCTGGTGTGTTCACGGCTGACGCCAGTGGATTCACTGCGGCCTGTGGTGGGTTCTGCTGCAAGCTAGGTAAGTTACCTAGAATCAAAAATAATTTCTTCTTTAATAAAGAGGTGACATGGTATTTTTAAAAACTATGATAAATCAGAATACATAACATACAAAAAAGCGTCTGCTAAGGAAGATCAGCATAGCTTCCTCACTTTTTGTATTGGCTAAAAAATTTCGATATTACAAGGTATAAAATTTTTCGTATGAGAACAAAATCTCTGGAAGAAGCCTTTTTCGGAAATTCAGTAATAAATCAAAATACACTGGTTTGATATCCACAAGTTTCGTTTATCAGCTAACACTAAAATGCGAAAAAGTTCCGCGTATGCAGATTGCATATTTGATGACTGGATTAAAAAATCGAGTGCGTACTGAACATGAGTATTCCTACTGTTAGTGCTAAAAGTCGTATGTAAACATTGAGTGTTCTACAAGAAAGAATAAAAACTAATTGTTTCGTTATGATTTATTAGTATAATTTCATGATTTAATGCCCTCTGCTATTTTCCATCGTAGCAGAATGTTTACAACCTTTTGCACTAACAGTAGTAATATGTAATTAATCGGCATGTTTTCACTCATAAAATCGATGTTACAAAAACTCCATAAGACAAATAAGAAAAACTAAACTTTTTGTTTTATCAGAGTTAACAAGACCAATACTTTACTTTAGTCAGAACAGATCTATTTAAGCTGGAATATAAAAATATATATAAAAATCACACATAAACTCGATTCCACGACGAGCTGGTCAAACTTCAATAGAAATAAACACAATCACAAATAAGATTTTTCTTTTTTACTAACTCAAGAGTAAAAATTAATTTAAATTTATTGAAAATTACACGAAATCTAAGTATCGTTTGGAATCGACAAAATAATACAGTATACATACAAATTTCACTGCCATTATTTTGTTAACGATTATTTATATTAATTTTAATTATTAAATGGAATTCATATCAGGAAACCTCTATACTATTCTTGAAATTCCCTCCGAGTTAGGGTCAAATTGAACGCAGTTTTTAAACTACAGGCTTGCCAAATAATACGTTTGTTGATCGGAAAGCTAAAGTATTTTTTCTAGAAGTGGATAGAATTTTATAAAATTCATACCTACTTATTTGTTTACCAATCCCTAACTTTCCTCCAAATTTGAGCCAAATTGAACATGCGGTTTTAGAGATATTGACGTATCAAGGAAAATACGTTTGAGCATATATACGAGAAATTAGTGAACAGAATTCAATAAAATTGACATTACGTTATTTTTTCATCATTACCTTGAACATGGCCAAATGGAACGTGCCCTTTCTGAAATATTGGCATATTTAAAAAAATATGTTTGCGGGTGCGTAAGCGGAAGTGCTGGATGGAATTTGATAAAATTGATATGGGACCATCTAGGCACCAATTCACATTATCCCTGAAAATTTCATGAAAATCGGATGAACGGTACTAGGTGATATGCCCATCACATCGATTTGACTACAGACAGACACCGAACCAAATTTGATCCTTGATGTCTGAAACGTAAAACACGAGTGAAAATTTTCGATTACGAGCACATTTTTAACCTCTTGCACGAACACAATGCTTCTCTACCTTTGGTAGTGAGGAAGCAAACAAAAAAAAAGAAGCAATTATTTAGCATATTGTGTTCATAACTGATGATTTGAGATGAAGTAATGTATTTTGTTATGACTAATTACATAGTAAATGGAAACATAAGAGGATTTGCAAAGAAACTTTTTCATTAATGTAACATAAAAAACTTTTAATTATTTTATTAAACAGCTTGATCGAATGCCATATACATCATTGTATTACTTAAATGTTTGTTTCTTTCTCAAATAAGTATATTACATTTCTAAATTTATTTTTGTTTAGTAGTTCAATTTTCCCTCTACTAATTTTTATTTTGTTGAAATTATTTTAAAAAGGGAGAGTAGTTGATATATATATTTGAAGACAAATACAGAAAAAAAAATGCTGGGAGACAGAAGGCCATAGGAGTGGGGATGAACTGAGCTCAACATTATTGTTCTAGGTCTACCGACCCAGGATACCGCTTCCTTCAATAGAAAAAACTCAAAAGTATGACCATTTATGGGTGAGGTAAGAAACATGTTTAAATAGACATTTTTGTTGTATAGGCAAAGTACTGTGACACTTTTCAGGGAAACAAAAGGAAAATTTAAAAAAATAAATAATCTCTAAGCCCAGAAAACATAAGTAGAACAAAGTGGAAGGGGATCATTAATACTGAATACAATTTTTGGGATCAAAATGAAGTTAAATATAAATATAATAAAATTATTTATAATAATAAAGTGAACTTTTTTATCTTGACAGAGAAAGAATTAATATGAAGATTATATAGACGCAAAAAAAAAAAAAAAAAGTAAAGAACTTGGATTAATCTGTCATAAAATTAAAGAACTACAGAATACAAGAGAATAGAAGATGATTTTATCAACTACTTACGGCTAACATCTTGTAATGGAACACCATTCGCACCCAATCCCATTCCAACGCTTTTCAGTCCTTCTGGTAATTTAGAGAAGAGATCACCCTTGTCAACTCTGTCCATTCTTACAGACAACCTTCTCTCATATAACATTTGATTATTCAACATCGATATAGCTTGGACTGCTTCGACTGGATGGTCAAACTCAACAACACCAAAGCCTCGACTCTTTCCCTCCTTGTCAGTAGATATTTCACATGACATCACACGTCCAGCAAGTCTGTTATAGAAAAAATTAATTGATTGTCTAATTACACAAGTTCATTAATAGTAGTGCCAACTAAAAAAAAAATCAAGATACAAATGGAAATAATGAAAGGGTATTAACTAAAAGAAAACACCCACAATCTTAAAGAACTGAAATCAAATATTTCAATAAACCCTTCTAGAACGTAATATGATGAACAGCATGCTTCAATAAATAAAGAATGGAAAACAAACAAGAATAGAAATCGGGGAAAAATTAACTGTTACAACAATGGCCTTTAAACAAATTTATAGAAATGAAAACAACCTCAATACAAGGGTTTTAATAAAATCAATCTCAATGCTTCAGGCCAGTCAATATCGATTAATTAATTTAATTAAATTTAACACCCTAAGGTGTTGTAAAAATTTGATTCAATTACTGTGAGAACTGTAGTTACAATGAAATAGTTGTTTAATTAGTGTTTGTCATGATTATTTATATAAAAAATTAATGTATTAATATGAAAAGTTTATCAATAGCTTACTACTATTATTCACTTAAGAAATTAAAAACAAAAAATAAAAGAGTAGGGAAAATACTAAAATTTCAAGTATAAATGAAAAAAAAAAACACTCTTAAACATTAATATGACATAAAACACCTACCTGAACACCTCTTTGAGTTTCTTCTCATCAACTTTATAATCGAGGTTGGCGACAAAACATCTTGGTACGAGAGGCCCATTGATGCTGAGAGACTCAAGAAATTGACTAGATAAGCCATAGGTGTTTCCCCATTTGCTTTGGCTTCCAACAGGAGGGCCATTGACAAGTGATGGAATATCGCCACCTCCCCACCCTCCCGATTGTCTGTCATCCCGCCTACGACCTCGTTCACCTCTAGGCAAGATTCTACCAAACTTATCCCGCTCAACATCATTATCCTGAAAAATAAACAAAATAACTTTTAATTTCCTAACAACATAAGTAACACAATCAAGGAACAAACAGATATCTCTAAAAAAGAATAACTTCTTTTAAAAATCAACAAAACAAACCAACTTTCATTTATTTTTTATCTGATTTACATAATGTATGAACATTTACAGATAATTTGAAGAAACCATAATGTAACTGGGTCAACAATACAGGTTTCTTAAATTCTATAACAGATTCTCAAACTGGATTCCATTAGCCCAGTAACTTTATACATCGAAAGTTGCATTCAATTGGGGTAGAATAATTTTTCTTATATGGGATATGAATAAGATGCAAAATTCCAAGTTTTCAACCTCGGCATTAAAAAAAGGCACTGTTCTCACAAAAAAAGTGGCTACACTGTCCTAAAATGGCGTCCATACAAGGGGGATCGATAACATTGACCTTGAGTTAGTTTTTCGGTCAGTTAGATTCAGCAGTTGGCTTCATTTTGTCATAATTGCTCTTTTATTAAAGCTGGATAGTCAGAAATTAATAACAAAGTAAACAAAATAATTGGCCTTGGCAATAAAAAATACCAGTAAAGTCAATTTTTTTCAAGTCATTCAAATTTAGTTAAGTCAATTTTTTTCAAGTCATTCAAATTTAGTAAAGTCAATTTTTTTCAAGTCATTCAAATTTAAGTTGAAAATCTAGAGTCATTCATAATTTAATGGCCAACAATAACGAAAAATGCCTTGAAACAAAACATCTAGAGAGTACATTTATCTTTCTAAATCATTGATTAATTTTTAACATATTTGAAACCGTTCTTTAGAAAATTCACTTAATAAATGTAAAAGCGGCACTGGCGTAAGTGCCTTCAGTCCTCTGTCACATTTGGTTCTCATAAATGGCATAGTTATAGTATTATTCCCTTTATCTGTCTATTATATATTTCTTTCACCAAATAATGTTTCCATCAGTTCCTTGTTATATTTTCAAAGATTTTGGATCTTCTCAACGGTGATAGCAGAATTTCCTTTTTCTAGATGTTATTTCTTCTTTGCTTTTTTATATATTTTGATATGATTTTTCCCCATATCTAATACACCTCTCTTAAATTAAATTAAACTTCTGAGTAGAGTTTTGAGAAAAATTGAAAAAAGTACGAAAATAAAGCAGTTTTAGGGATTTGGAAAATTGATCCCTAGACCTGGGTCAAAAATTTTGATTTTTCATCTCAGTAACATCCCATACAAGAAAAAAAAAGAAACCTACCTCATTCAATGCAACTTAGACCTTTCTCCCCTCTTTTCATGACAAGGTTACTAAGGCCAAAAGGCAACCTGCAGCCTCTTAAACGTAAAACAGGGGTGCTGTGGTAATAACATTTAATTTTAATATTTAACCCTTTGGACTGCGGACAGGATACCTGTCTTCCCGTTAAGAGTTGGGTCACTGGTGCTGGGATATATGCCTATATATGGGAAGATGGGATATATGCCTTCCTGGCAGTGAGTTGGCTCATTGGTGCGGGTGAGATATATGCCTTCCCTCCTGGGTGGTCGCCACTTAAACAGATACGGGCTAGTACCACCTACGTAATGGTCGTCACAGATTCTGACCATTTGGAAGATATCATTTGCAAATTTATTCTGAACTCAAGGCATGTCCATTCTGTTATTTGTGTCATATCCATGATCTTAATTATATTTTATTGAAATGTTTTATATATCAAATAAATGTTAATAAGTTAATTTTATATATTTTTCTTTTAATTTAGGTTTTGACTGAATGCTGATTTTGGTACACATGAATCTCTATCTGTAATATATATATATATATATATATATATATATATATATATATATACACAGAATTAAACAGATACTTTGTTTCATCGTTTTTCCACCTACCAAAAACAATATATATATATATATATATATATATATATATATATATATATATATTTCATATAATATTGAAGTTTTTGAAACTCAAAATAAATGTAAGTGCAATAATAAAATCTGTAACTGAACTATGTTTCAATTTGGAAAGTTTATAAGTAAGAAAAAAAACTGTAAATACAAGGAAATATATAATTCGAATCCCGCCATGCTTTTTTTAGAAATAATATAATTTAATTTTTATGAACACTTACAGTTATTTTTATAATATTTAGTTATTTTGCTCTTCAGAAATGATCGGTAATTATTTACGAACGGTCCTCCACTCGCCATCTTGGTTGAACTGGTATTATGTCCCGTGTTCTGATAACGTTTACGAAATCTAGCACCAGAAAGCGCCACTATTGCGGAGGGGTTGTCTTGTCCCCTCCACCTTACGTTCATTACAAATAATTACCAATTGTAACCTTTACAATATATAGTGCCCACCATTTTTTTTAACTTGACGATTTCTTTGTATCTTCAATATATCGATTAACCAAACTTTATATTTCAGATGTTATTATTTACACATATTACCAACATCAATTTTTTTTACCATTATATATTACTAATATTATTTATAATTGTAGTGTTTATATATTGCCCCTTTTTGTTTTTTTAGCTTCGAGATTCAGCATTTTCGCTTTAATGCTTTTCGCTTTCCTTATCATAAATGAAATAAGTGTATTAACTTAAATTTTGTTTTAATTGTGACACTTTATCTCTAATTGTACATTATCTAAGTATGTCCAATATTAATACAATTCAGGAAGAATTAAACAATTTTCTATAAGGGTTTTGATGCTGGATAAGGGTTATACTTATCAATTATATGTTACTTAAATCTTCTAGCAAGAAGAATTAAACAATTTTCTATAATGCTTTTGATGCTGGATAAGGGTTATATTTTTCAATTATATGTTACTTAAATCTTCTAGCAATAAAACACATTTTCAGTCTACTCAGGTACATACTGGCAATACCAGATGACCAGTTATCCCTAGCCATTTCCATTGCTGTCTACTTACATTATCTATATCTACTTTTATATTGTATTGTCTCATTAATTTTTCTGAATCCTGTCAGAATGATTTATTAGGCAAGAAAGTGTAAGTTATCTTCATCATGTCTATTCCGCCAGAGGTAACTCATTACCTTCTTCTTCATAAAATGTAAAATGTCCCTTAGTTATATAAATGAAGTATAGACCTATGAAAGATTTAGGTTTTACTTCATCTCATGTTTTGGCTTCCAGCCTCAAACTTTCCAGACATTGTTTAATGAGTTTATTAATTTCTTCCTAAGGTTTCCCTATATGTATTTCAAGACTGTAAATAATTTAACTATCGAGAATGACTTATTGTCCAAATAAGGATAAATTACCACCAGTAATGATCAAATTGACCAAGGAAAAGTAACCTAGAATACCTTATTCTTTTGTGCAAACAAATATACCTTATTCTTTTGTGCAAACAAATATAAACTATTAACACTATATATGTATTGTGTAGCAATCATATAATCATAATACTTGATAAGAGATAGTTCATGCATTTCATACTATCGACATAGGAATTTCAATACATACATTTCTTTTATTTATTCAATTATAATTAACTGTTTATTTTTATATGTATATTCAAGTAAAATTTTATTTTTTTATGAAATGAACACATTCTAACTTTATAGTTTTGTTTATAGTTCAAGTGATATGTTCATAGTTTTAATTGTTTTGTTTATAATTTTAAATGCTCTGTACATAGTTTTATCTGTATTGTATATAGCTTGCGCACCTAAGGTTTTCTTTACTTTTTATTTTATTTTATCAATTTTATTTATTGTTTCAAACGTTTAGGCCAGTAATATTCTATTATTTTGTACATTATTGTTATTCTGAAGGGACTTAGTCCCAGAATAAAGTTTTTTTTTCTATATATCTATCTAAAAGTAGATACAGATAATGTAAGTAGACAGCAATGGAAATGGCTAGGGATAACTGGTCAGATAATTTAAATTGGATTGGAGATTAAGACAATTTAGAAATTATAATAACCAAATGTGAATAATTGAGATGCATAGGTAAAAATATATTCAAAAGCATCTGTTATAAATGTTACAGGCTCAAGTTGACATAATTTAGCTAATGTTTGAAAAAGATTACTGCTTAACTAAATACCTCTTGGAGCATTGCGTTTTATATATATATACAGGTTGCTAAGATACTTGTCTATCATACAGATACGATGATTGGCATAGTTAATTATGTAGAAAATGTATGGTTCCAAGGGGAATATACAAGGGACCAATCGCTAAGAACTCGTAATGTTGCTGACAAGTTCAGATTTAAAGGAATGTCAGTAGTGTTTTCTTCTTTGATTATTTTTAATTAAATGAATCGCTAGAGCTCTCCTACATGATCCTGAAACATTTCCCTTAGAATCTGGTAATGCCAGTATGTACCTCAGTACTGAAAATGTGTTTTATTGCTAGAAGATTTAAGTAACATATAAATGAAAAACATAACCCTTATCCAGCATTAAAACACTTATAGAAACTTGTAAATTTTTTAGTACATACAATCTAAAATATAGCATGGTCAAGCATAAAGTATTTAAAAATTGAATATATACAATCTAAAATATACAATGATCAACCATCAAATATTTAAAAATTTAAGTTAATGAAGTTGTTTAATGTTTAACAAATTGTTTAAGCCAGTATGCTGCACATTAGACTGAAAATGTGACAGAATATACCTAAAAAGTATAAGCATAAATATATTATGTGGATATATAAAAAGTATAAGCATAAAAATATTATGTGGATAAGATGGAAATGGGTGTTCAATCGATGCTTATTTAATGGTGGGTAAGGAATGGTTAATTTAAAAAAAGGCGGGTAATATATAACCTAAACGATCTAATTTCTATATTTACTGAAAACAGAGGTAAGGTGGAGGGGACAAGACAACCCCTCCGCAATAGTGGCGCTCTCTGGTGCTAGATTTCGTAAACGTTATCAGAACACGGGACATAATACCAGTTCAACCAAGATGGCGAGTGGAGGACCGTTCGTAAATAATTACCAAATGATCAAAGTACTGCGGGATTGCAGCTCTAATTTTGTATTGTTATGTGTTGCCAAGAAGGAATATGTCCCGTTTATTTAAAGTTGAATAAGAAGGTTAAAATGCATTTTTGAAAGCTAAGATCTTAAAAGGTGACTCAAAATAGTATTTTAAACAAATTTATGCAAACAAAAAAAATCTGTTTTTCTGAACGTCTTTTGGATGGCGGGATGCGGTAGAAGGACTCGAATGAGCTCCGGCAGTCAAAGGTTTAAGGACCAAATTGTCAATTTTTGAATGAATAGCAGAATTAAAATCAAAATCAATCAAATTAAAGATTATATCAATTCTAAATTTATTTAAGTTAACATTAACAATGGCATAAAACTGGTTAAGCATTCTATTTTAAAACCACCATAAAGATAACTGGCTAAAATTTTTTAATTCCTTTATTTGGGTCATAGAGGTGCAGCAAATTGTTTTGACCCAACAAGGGGACTGGGAAAATTTTTTTAGTTTATCAGGAGTAATGTGCCAAAAAAAAAAAGTTTGAGGACCACTACAATACAGTTCCATAAAATTTAAGATACCTTTGATAACCTTATATAAGCAGTTTCAGTACTTACTTCTTTTACGACTAATTTTCTTCCTTTTAATTCATATCTATGCATTTTTTCAACAGCTTCTTTAGCAAGATCTGGATTAGCAAATTCAATAATTCCACAACCTCTAGGTTTGTCGTCTTCATCAACAAAAAGCTCAACAAATGAAACTTCACCAACTGGAAATCAAATTAATTGTAAATATACATAAAACCATAATATTCAAAAGAAATCCAACATAAATTGTCATGACATCACCAAGGCTATTTTGCCTTTTGGCTTATTTGCCTTCAATAGATTTATGATTTACTTCAGACTATAATAAATAGTAATATTTTTTAATTTGTTAATACCTAAATAATGTATGACTATAATTTCAAAACAACAAACTTAGCATTTAGAAAATAATTGCTCAAATTAGGTGAGACTAGTACATTATCTCTAAAATTTTAGAGCTTTATAAAAAGGGGCCGGTACCAGAGCAACTTCACGAGATCACGATGTTCAAGTATAGATGTAGATTAAGATTTTTACAACATAATTTGTCACATCTTTACCTGTCAACTTCTCACCGTTGCAGTTTCGAAATCTTAGACTATTTTTAATGATTTATAATTAAGTTTTAATACGAATTTAAGAATCAAATTTGGAATTTTTCACTTTCTATGAAGTACTCTTTTTTTAGACACCTCATTTGTTGTAGAGCTCCATTGCTTACTTCAGAGAGCTAGTTGACTGTGATTAAGATGACTTGAGAATCAAGTCGAATTTTGAAATATTACTATTAACTAAAAAATATTTATGCTTTTCATCGTAGTGTCTAAATTTATTACTTCAGATGTATACATTTTTATTTGTAAATTCTTCAATCATATTCTCTTTTCTAACAGTTATTGTTTTCATATGAAATTCACATTGACAAACTTATAATTTTTAACTTTATTTTAAATTTATTATTTTCATAAACATAAAAAGTTAGTTTTTTTTTTTAATGAAGATGGACCATTATTACTAATATAAGATCTCAAGTGGTATAAAAAAGGTGTAAGTGGTAAAAAAGAAAACATAGGATGATCAAGGAATCTCAAGCAATTTTAAGAATCATCTTGCATAAAATATGTTAGCTGATGCATTGCAATGCCATTAAGCACATTAGGTACTCTTACATTACTTTCCTTAACTTGCAAGATGGTGAGAATTTTGTGGTGGGGATGGTGAGGATAAATTTGAAAACAATTTATTCATTCTTACAGTTAATAAGTAAAAGTGAAATCATAAAGATGTTATAGAAAGTACACAATGTAATTGATATGTAAAGAATGATTTACCTTGTTGCCGAAATAGATCCTTCAGCTCCTGCCAGCGATATTCATAAGGTATATTTGATACAAATACTCTATTTGACTTCTTCCTACGAGGACTACGATCCCTTTCACCATCCTTATTACGACTATTTCTGTCTTTTCCGTCAGCAGCACCCCTACCACTACCACTTCGGTCCCGGTTTCCTCTCCTTTCTCTATCCCTTTCACCTCCGTCTGAAGACCTAAGATAAGAAATTACAAATTGTAAATTAATTTAAATAAATTGAAAAAATAAATAAAATTCTACAATACTTTTTTTTCATCCTCAATTATGAGCCAAAGGAAATTGTTATAATGAAGTTGTACTGTAAATGGAGCAGGATAGCACACAAAGTAAGGTATGGTGCTCCTATTATAAATCCCGGACCCAGAGTTGAGTCTGCTTGTATCAGATTATTTATTCTATTAAATCAGCTGCATTGTAGATTAGTTTTATGAAGTCTAGTTACGTAACTTGAAGCAAATAAAAGCTTTAACGACTAGTACATGTATATTGTCAGTTTGTGGCAAAAAGCTACCAAATATATTTTTGAAGGAGCCTGAACTTCTAAGAACATTTTTGTGAATTACGACCTTATTTATTGATACAAAAAACACAGTAAATGCACTAAAATGGCAAATTTTCACCGAAAGCAAAGCGCAGCAGATCTGAGTCAGTTTCCAAAACCGAACCAAAGGTTTTCAATGAAAGGCCGGTCACCAGAAGCTGAGCTGAGCACAGTTTGAGCAGTGTAGAAAGGGTCACCTTTGGGTCGAGCGGGGTTCAGTTTCGGAAGCTTAATCCACTAGGCACAGCTTATTTTTTTTTTTTTAACAAGCCTTGATGGACGACTCATTTAATATATACTTTTTTCTTTTCCTTTCAGTAATAACAGTTATAATACAAATTAATAATTAACAAAATAATAAATAAATAGTTCCATGAAGGGTATGTTTTTGTTTTTTTCAAAAATGCATGAATAGGGATTGTGTGGTGGAGGCTGACATCATAAAAGACCGCAACTTTTGGCTGTTCTTGGGATTCCATGAACAAGTGTGATCGAAGAGATTGTGAACTAGGCATAATCCGTGAGGAACACATGTGAACTATTATCATACAAATTAGTGAATAAATAAATAGATCAATTTATATTACATTATAAACAATAATTTATTGTAATCAATAAACGCCCTATTAATATTTTCATTATTTTCTTATGTTCGGTTTCTTGTTCTTGGTATGTTTTGTTCTTTTCTTGTTTTCATGTTTCTTGGTATGGGGATGTATGGCAGCTTCAGATGTATGAAATCTTCACTTTATAGTGAATAAACATATGTTTACATCGACATTTTGAGAGAAAAAAAAAAAAAAAATCTGTAAAATTTGGGCTAAACAAATTTTGTTTTTATCAGGATAATAACATCAAACACTGTCATGTTAGTTAAGGAATGCCTACTTTAAAACTTCCCTAAAGTTATAAAAACTACACCACATGTCATGTTAGTTAAGGAATGCCTACTTTAAAACTTCCTTAAAGTTATAAAAACTCCACCACAGTCACCAGATCTTATGTGACAAAACAAATGTGGACAAAATTGGAGGTAGAAATTAGAAAACACAAAATTTCTAGTAAAGACATAAAAATATTTCCTCGAAGAGTAGAACAGGCCATGCCCGGAATTACCAAAAATTTGGTAGACTCCATTGCAGATTGAACGGAATAATAGAAAATAATGCCTTGCCTAAAAGGTATTGAAATTTTTTTAGCCAGCCTGTTCTTACAAGTCTTACAACTTGCAGGACTCCCTAATTAAGTGGGTATGGTCTAACTTCCCGTGGGAACCAGCCGTAGTGGTAAGTAGGGGGCGGGATTCAATCATATGATCTTTACTAGTATAGGGCACTGACCACTCTAATATATCTGCCCCCATTGAACTAAATTAATAGTATTTAAAAGTGAAGTGAGGTAAAATTTTGACTGAGATAAAATTATTCTATTTTTCAAATAATCACAGTTAAATATTATCATTTTATTGAGTTTGTATATATTTAAAATTAGATTATAAATAAATCTGTTGAAGAGTTCCTGGTTTTTATTTGTTTACTGTAATCATTTAAGTCTTTTTTTTTTTCTTTCTACTTTTCTACAGGATGTATCAATTTCACTATGAACCACTGTATATGTTATGGAACCATATATATATATATATATATATATATATATATATATATATATATATATATATGGTTGTGTGTGTATATATGTGTACATTATATATATATATATATATATATATATATATATATATATATATATATATTTCAATAACAAAGAATAAATTGGGGAAACTAAACCTAACCTATGCGTGATAAATAGTCGGGACGCAGTCATTTTTAAGGTTCTTATAATTTTTAGTGCCGATATTACAATCCAAGCATGTACGTCATCATCAGGGCGTGTTTCGAGCACTGAAAGTGTTCAAGTACTCAACTTCTACAATAAACCTAACTCGACAAACCTTCAATATCAAAATATAAACTATAACATAACATAAACATTGATGATATTATTGTTTGTAAGGTTAATTTCAATTGAGCTAAAATAATATAACAAACTAAAAGAGAACTTTAATAATGAACATAGATTTAATGTATACAATTTTTTAGAAATATCGGACATAAAAATAAAAAAATTGAAAAATAGTTTCAAAGGTAAAATGTAACTCTTGGATTAAAACTCAAAGTAAAAACAAAAAAGAACTTAACAATTTATAGATATTGCATCTAAAAAGGCTTTAATGGTTCCATTTACTTTGTCATTAGGGCTAAATACTAAGAAAATAATCATAAATACGTGACATTAAAATTAATTGCTGAACAATGCACCATTGAAATGATCTTTAAAGCATTTATAATACCATAACAACCTTGTAATGGCAATTAATAATTGAACATATTATTTTAAGTAATTTGACTCATTCTTTAACACAGTACTAAATAAAACTTAAAGACATTGAAATTATGGCAATTTAAAAATATCACCATGGGAATAGATATTGATAAGCTAAAATAAAAATATGAGTGCCAGTTGTTGCTCTTAAGATCTTAAAAAAATCAAACAAATAATAAATTTTGAATTACTAAAAACGACAAGGATGAGCCTTTAACATATTTTATATTATACCATCATTACAGGAATGTACATACATCACAAACCATGATATAATTAATGAAACAAAAAATAGATAAGAAAAGTTTAACATCCATAAGACTAATTAGTTAGGTATTTTTATAATAGACCTCTTCTAATGATACAAGAATTGGGAAGGCACTATTAATTCATTACAGCATTAATTTGTCCAGCAATAAATAAAAATAAATATGATAAATTAGTAAACAAGTACGAATTATCAACAATCATGATAAAAAATGAAACTCATCTTCAGTAAGATGATTTTTGGTAATTTCTTTAAACGAAAATATTAAGACATTATTGAAATTGGCACGTGCTTTCTAAAACTAATAGAATCTGTCCGGCTTCAGGCCGATATAGGAGAAGACAAAAATTAAAATGTCAGCTTACTTGTCACTGTAATTATCAGTCATCTTGGAAACTAGACGTCAAATAAAACAGTATAAAAACAAAGAAAAAGTCCTCCGTGCAGGCGAGAAATAACACTAATAATCCCGACAGCAACTAGGACGCTTCTTTCCCAATAAAAATGGCGACGTAGAGAGCTTGTCTTCAAACCACGGCCATTCGAATATTTTATAACATAGGACCATTGGTAATTTTCAAACAAAACAATAAACATTAAATTAAATAAATTAACATTTATCATACGATGCATAACTGATACTGAAATATTTTTATCTTCCAACATAATTAATAAAATTGAGCATAATTATTGTTTGTTTAAGTTTCATATAAAATTCTATAAATGATTACTTTCAAATTTGAAATATATCTTTATTGAACGAGTGATTTTACATAATTCCTGATTTTTATTAGGTTTATTCACAAATATTTAATTACTTCCCATATCGTTTGTCATATAACTCATTGATTTTCTGGAATCAATAGAACCATCCCCCTAGAGTGACCCAAGCTTCCATTTTTTTATTCAGATTCTCCTTTGTAAATTAAAGTTTTATTTAATTAATTTCATTGCGTGGCTCTCTTTTAAAAATTTGAATTACAAAAATTTTAATAGGACTTCCCTATATTTCAGCAATGAAATTCTTAACTTCGCTCCATCAAATTATATAATTAGGTTGAAACTGTAAATTTCTATTACATATTGCTTTACTGTATTTTTAATTTTAAAAGCATGTAATATTTATAGTTTTGAATATTAATAAAATCAGGTTATGCTTTTAAATAGACATACATATTCTCAAACCCCATTTATTTATATTATTATTATATTATATTTATTTAACGGCTCGACAGGCTCCTGAAGCTGCCCTTGGCCATTATATTATATATATATATATATATATATATATATATATATATATATATATATATAATATATATATATATATATATATATATATATATACTGCTTCCTGCAGTGCCTGATGAGACGCCCTGCTGAAGACCTGCAAGGAGGGTCGAAACGTTGGCAAAACAATAAAAATGCTATTTTTTAAAAATTTAACGGCTCGACAGGCGCCTGAAGCTGCCCTTGGCCATTGGCTTCCTGCAGTGCCTGATGAGACGCCCTGTTGAAGACCTGCAAGGAGGATCGAAACAATAAAAATGCTATTTTTTAAAAATTTAGTATTCATTTGACCGCACCACCCGACCAATTCCTTCTCATATTTATATTATTATTTATTTAAAAAAAATGTTTTTAACAAACAAAAAAAACTTATTGTATTTTGTAATATTTCATTCTATTTGGCATTTTTAATTATTTTAATAAATACAATTCAATAATCAATAATATTCAAAATACCTTGTAATATATTACTCTAGGTAGAACTTGTTAAAGATAAAAAAATTAAATTTAACTGTATTAATTGTTTTATTTAAGTATTTATTTTTTGTATATGTATCCATGCTAGTTGTTACCAAATTAATAACTTTTTTGGCATGAATGTGACATAAAACAGAACAAGAATTAAGACAATTGGATTTTATATGAGTTATTTGATTCAAATGTGTGCTTTGTTTGGATAGTTAAGAATAAATGTAATTTTTTAGATTGCCTTTGAGGCAAAATCAAAGGACCTATTGACTAAAGGTTTTTAAAAATAAAAGTTCTGTAAAATGCTTACTTCAAAAGTAGCAAGGAAAAAAGTTCTAGTTCAGAAATAACAGAAAAAAAATTGAAAATAAAAATTCCAGTCATACTGAAAATAATTAAAAATAAAAGTTAAAATTTCATTTCAAGTCTTGCTTTATTTTTCATCTTTTTTATCATTAACAGGCCCTGCTAAGAGTGGTATCTTATAAATTTAGTATTGAGTATATAACTGCATAAAGTAAAATGTGTTAAAATGCCTGATAGGCTAATTATATATATATATATATATATATATATATATATATATATATAAAATAAAATAGCATTTCCAAAAATGTAATAAATGTTAATAAAATGTATTAATAGTCTATTTAAAACGAAATTGATTAATATTAAAAACTTGTAAACTTGCTAAATAATTCACATAATATAGCATTAATGACCAAATAATATTATAGTATAGAAAATAAGTAAATAAAATAAATTTTCAGAAAAATATTTTCTTTTCTTTGTTGATTACAATGGTTATTGGAGGTAATAAATCAAAAATGTGTACATACTCCACCAGGCTAAGGATGGCCATCAATAGTCAATATTATCCAAATATCTTATGTAGAGTTGAATAGCCCGCGTGGAACCCTTCTCACTCAGTAAACTCAATTTTTTAGTAAGAATATTCTAAACCAAGACCATGAATTAATTGTCAAAGAAATATATGTAGGTTGTATAAACATTAGCATTTCGCTGAATCTGATCTATGGATAAATGGAAGGCATAATTGGTTGAATGGAAATTTCTGGAAAAAATCTGAGGGTGACGAAAATAGACAGGAACAAGAAAATTAATTTTACTAAGGAGGATAAAAGAAGTGATATTTCCATTAATTAATTTAAAGAGGAAAACAACATTTTTTTTATATGCCTATTTGCTAGCGAATCAATATTTATATTGATATAAATATTTCAAAAATTTTTATAAGATCGACTATAAATATTTCCAGTACAATATTTAGATGGCTATTTAGATAGTTATGAGCCAATATTAATATCGATATTGGGCCTTCGATATCCCATCCCTACAACAGGCTGTATCATTGCTAGTAAAGAACCAATTTTGATGATTTTGTATCATTATATAGGAAATCAAGAAACTTTCTGAATTATAATGTGGATAATCAAATATAAACTATATAATTTTTGAGTTATGGGGAAATAAAGTTTTCTTATCCCCATAACTTTGTTTCATCCTATCTCTAGGAGATGTGCAGTCAAAAATCATCTTTGGGATATGTATTAAATAATTATAATAAAATTTAAGGACATGGATATCAATGATAAATTATATTTATGTAGGATAAATTATAGATTACAGATTAACTATGACAGCAAAAACATGATATCGAGAAGTAATAACTCACAATAAACAAATAAATTGTAAAAACCAATATTTTTTTTTTTTGGCATGGTAGTTATTGGGTCCTACTCCTATATTTTATTCACCCTTTTTGTAAATTAATTCAACAGTGGTTGTAGATAAATATTTATTTATTGTCAGTTTCATATCCTTACAATAAAAAATAATTAATCCTATTTATATTAAAAAATAAAACAGCTATTCGATTAGTACTTTTTTATTGAATATACAACATATTTTCTTTATTTATTATGCTAATGTATTTTTTTTTTAAATGATAATTGGTGGTAATGACATTTAAAAAAAAAATGGAAAAATATTTCTCTCTGACTAGTACAAGAGTATCCTCCCAGTACACAAAACATAATTGAGAAGTAAGCATAATTTTTTTATGAGCAAATTTTATCCATACAAAGTGTGATGGATAAAGAACCAGTTCTTAAGATAAAAAGAAAGCAAATAACCCGTTTTGCAGAAATAGGCTCTAGTTAGCAGTCTGGCCAAGAGATAGCAGCATGGATATAAACCAGGAAATTTAAGTTTTATTAATGAAGTATGACCAAATGGACTGTTTAAGATGAGTGGTTCATTTCACCCAATAATTTTCTCTAATGGAAAGGTTTGTAAACATACTTATTATAATAATACTCAGTATTTCTTTTCAAACACTTTTCCATTGGTATCAGTTATCAAAAGTTGTTATGTAATACATAAACAAACTGGAATTCATTATTTTAACTGTTACCTGCATGTTGAAGTATCTGTCTCTGGCATGTAATTAAAATATCATATATTTTATTAATCCCTTGAAGTTTGAATTTGCAAAGTGTGTCATTATTATAAAATGTATAACTTTAAGTAGTGAAATGAAGTTGGTAAAGTTTCTTTATTTGTAAATAATAAAATTTTTATGGACTAATTGAGTCTTTTAATACTATAAATCCTAAAAACATTGGCATGTAACTATTTTTAGTAAGTTTTTTATTATATTCTGCTTATATGTACGATCAAAGTTATAGTGGTTCTCCGATTCTATGTATTTTATATGTGATTGTCACTCTGGTGATTATTTATTAATCTATTTCTAATTTTAAGAAGTTATTTGAAATAGTTTTGTACAATATGCTTTGAAATATAAAACAGGAAGAGGAAATGTATTGAACTAAACAACCTAATTGAAATCAAGACTATATACTTCATTTAAGACAAAAATGTTAGTAATTATTTCTGCCTTGTCATTTTGTAACTATGTTTACAAAAGTAGTAAGAATACAATTTAAGATTTAAATGAACCTGTTTTAATCATGTCTTTGAAAAATAAAAGGCAGTTATCATTCCTTTGTCTTAATGAATATTTATAATAATTGTGATATTAAATGTTGTTCGTTTGTATTAACTTATTTAATTAATGTAATTTTTTTTTGTATTGTAATAATTTATGTATATGTTTTATGTTGTTAATAATAAACTTTTATTATTTAAAATATTCAATAAACTTTTATTATTTTTCAGTTAAGTTATATAAGTCAAGATGCTCTCAATATACCGCCTGTACTTTCGAGAATGTATGGTAAAAATGTAACAAGCTTAGATTTAAGTTTCAACAAACTCTATTCATTGGATGGGGTAGAAAATTTTCCCAATTTGACTGAACTAGTTGTTGACAACAATGAGATAGACGATTCACTCATTCTGTCAGAGATGCCTTATTTACATACTTTATCATTGAACAACAATAAAGTAAGTTTACGTTAAAAAAAAAAAAATTTAATTATGAATTATTATTATTAGTATTCATCATTTTTAACCCTAAATGAAAGGTATTTTCCTAGAGTGAGGAAGAGTAAACTTCAATCACTACAAGTCAGATCGTAATAATTTTTATAAAAATATTGTATATTGAGGAAAATTCTTACAATCCTCGCAGTATTCAACAGCACAGCTTTTCTGGGCTTCATTTATAATAGCTGTTGAGAGGTCCAATTTCTCAATACCTTCCACAGCAGATGGTGGTGTCAGACCATTCCTAGAGATAACTAAAGTCCTCACAGTTACTTTATTCAGTCTGTATAGGTCTTTCAATTCATCTGCTAGAATTTTGATATTTCCAAACATTTTCACACAGACTAAATTAGTGTTTCCATCGGTTGTTGGAGCGATATCTATTATTTCAGCTATACTCATATTGCTATCCATTAACACAATATCTGGTCTGTTGTAGATTAATTTATGATCAGTTATAAATGACTGGTTTCAGTACAATTTTATTCCTTCCTTCTGGATTAGATCTTTAGGTTGGTATTTATAATAAGACATCGAGTCATTCAATAGTTTTTTTTTTCAAACCAATCAGCTGATGATAGATTTTCACTACATTGTCTCTCTTAAGATATTTTGTTTCAGACAGCATTCTCCAGTTATGTGCTGAATAGATTTGAATGTACTGGCAGAGTCTACACTTGTCTGATACTGTCTGCTGCTTCAGGGCGTGTCGCCATTAAGACCTCTTTGGCATTCTTTGGTCGGTCATTATTTCCACATGTTCTATCCGTCTTGTTTATGCTTTTTTCATCAATACCACAATGTCGGGTTCTCCAAACAGTTCTCGCAGCTCCTCATTCCTTTTTCTTCTCGAGATCCAGTTCTCAGCAACTCCACTCCATATTCTTCTCAATACCTTTCTTCTCAGGAATGAACCTGGACCTCTAATTTTCTGGTTAAGATTCATGTCTCACACCCATACATAACTACTGGTCTTGCTATGGTTTTGTAGATTAGAATTTTGATTCTTTTGGAGAGGGATCTAAATTTTGAATCTGTTTGCAGTGAGGAATAGCATCTATTTTCTGCTGCTTTTCTGACTTTTATTTCACTCTCTACCTTGTTGTCACATGTAACTAGGATACTTGGACTGATTTACAGACCTAAAGCTGTGATCTATGAAAGTTACTTCTCTATTCACTTCCTTTTACCTTCTTGAACATTTCATTGTACACCATCTAATTTTCATTAACCCTGAGGCTCAGTTTAGCCCCTGCCTCTTTGAATTCCTGGAATGTTCCTGATAATATTGCTTGGATTCTTGACATAATTTTTGTTAGTCCAATCAGTTTAATGCCTACATTTATCATAGATTTCACATGCCCTTATTTGTCTGTACTACTGTAATGTATGTGTGTTTGAAGTTCAAAACATCCAGATTCATAACACTTTTCCTTTGTCTGTCTCAGGGAGAATATCTGGTCAACTGTTGATCACACATATTTTAGCATCTCTGGAGTGACCTCGTCAAGACCTGGCGACTTATGAATCTTTCTTGACGTAATTGTTGTTAATTATTCCTTCACTGGAATTTCTACTTCTTCTGCTCCTTCATAAGCCTCACCCAGGAGTTTATTTAGGTCACGACCAGAGCTCGGCATTAGAGATTGTTTCAGGCCACCATTCACTCAATATATTCCACAGACGTCAATTGACGAAGCCAGTAGCTTCTTGGTAACTTTCTAAGTCTCGTAAGCATATAGCAGAACTGACATAACAAAAGTATATGTAAATAGTTTTTATTATAACTATAGTAACTTTTTGTAAATCCAGCTTCATGAGGATAACTAAATACTTCATTAGGTGATACAGCAATTAAATATTATTCATTTTATTCTTAAGGATGTATGGCTACCGCCCAGAAGAGGATTCCATGCACCATCAAAATTTTCGAGAGGGATAAACTTTTAGGGGAGTTATGAATTTTTGGGGAATAAAATATTTTTTTGTTAAGTTTGAATTTGGGGGAACTCTAAACAAGGAAAACATGGAACAGTTAATATCAAGTATAATTCTAAATAAAATACATTACTTTTACTAGTACTGTTTTTAAGATAAGTATGGCAATAATCCTTGGGAGCACAGGGGGTTATGCACCATCGCCCATAGAGGATGAGCATCTTTGGGCTACTATCATTTAAATAATGCTAAACAATTGTGAGGTCTAATTAACTTGTATATTTTTATTTATTTTGAATAGATTACCAATCTAGATGTGCTTGTTAAGAAGATAAAATTAAAGTTACCAAAATTACAATATCTCAGCCTTCTAGGAAATATAGCTTGCCCTAATGAGCTATCGGATACTGATAAAGATGAAGAGGATTACCAGCGATACAGGTGAACATTTTTCTTACTTTTATAAATATCTTATCGATGAGCATTTGTATCTCTATTGTATGTAAATAATTAAATTTGAAATACTTCACAAAATGTTATTAAATTACAAAATTAAATTCATATTGTTACATGGTCAGAAATGAAACTTTTTTTTGGGGTCCTCCCCTTCCTCGCCATTAAGGCTATACATGGTTTTCCCGGGCCAGGGGGTGTGGGCGGGGATTTAAAAGACGCCTTTTTAAAAGACTAAGGATTTAAAAGACTATTTTTATAACACATTTTTCATACATCAGGTTACTGAACAACGGTGGTGCTGTGCACAACACGTTAGCCCATTCGGCCACCCCGCCCAGACAGAAATGAAACTTGTGCATTATGGGCAAAAGTACTCTTTTAATTAAATAAAATTATATTATGATCATTTTAAATATTTTTGAAGTCACTGAGATTAAACCTGTATTGTCTTTGAGGCACAGTTGGGTTAGAAAGCAATGTAAAATAAAAATGTCACTGAGATCAATAAACTAGTTTTAAAATAATTTTAAAATGACAGTTAATTAAAATAATTAATTTAATGACAGTGGATTCATATATGAGTCCAGAATTGGGCCCAGTCGACGTTGTACTCATATATGAGTTGAGACAGAATCAGGCCCTGGCGACAGTGGATTCATATATGAGTTGAGAGCCTGTCAGGCTCTTTCTGTTTAAATGACAAGGTATTCAGTCATAAATTATTTTTTCAAAGTATCCCATGGCCTTTCTATAAATCGCATAAAAGATAAATTAAAAGCAAAACAAAATAAAATGTTTGGAATGATGCCCTAAATAAAAAGGCTAAAGTGGTGAGTAAGGGTCATGAAAAGTATTCTGTCATGGGATCACAGAGAACTACTAGCTAATACTATCCCTAATGCCGTTCCTTCCTTCCCGCTCATCATCGTTAAAAGGTTGAAAGAAAAACAGTTAATAAAATATGAAATTAAATAACATATATGAAAAATATGTACGTATTACAATAGTTCTGATTTTACAGTTTCCTTCGTCAGGAAACCCATTGTACTTAGCATGGTTACACCACATTATGGATATTTTAAAAATACTGACATTTTATATATCAAAATATCTACATTTCTGGCTGATATATTTTATGTAAATATTAAACTTTTACTATCAAAACAAATATTTTCACCTTTGCATATATGTCCCAATTATTTTCAAAGGTTAAAAATATTCTTTAAAAATATCAAATGGCCTAAGATGGAATCATATGCACATCATTCCGACCAAGCACTCTGGGTCTATTTCTCCAAAGCTCTTGGCCATTGGAAACTCCGTGTAGTCAATTTATAAAATGATTATTATTTTTACATTTTTTTTACATTAATTTCATTAAAACCTAGTTCACACAAACTTAATTAAACTTTCTTTAAAACCAATGCTTTAGTCATCCCATCACTCCACCATTTAATACTTTTTTTTTATTCTGAAATTAACCTCTACTACACTGATACATTAATTAGAAATATTGGAATAAATATTGAATAAGTAAATTTTTAGAAAAAACAAGTTTATAGTTTAAAACTACATTAAATTTCCTTTAAAATAGTGCAGAGGTCTTTTTCCACTTCTATCTTTGTTTTTACTCTGAAATTAATTTATGCTTTTGTAAGAATGTTAAAAAAAAATTAAAATTTTTATATTTTATCGGTTGTAATTTCTTTTCTCATAAGCATCCATATTACGTAAGTTGCTTCCCTGCTTAAACAAGAATAAATATTGGACTTATTTCTACTTATTTGTTAGAAATGAAAGAAAGGCAAAGTGCTAGAGTAAATAAGTATTTGATCAATCATAAGTTACAAGTTCAAATAAACATATTGCTAATGAACTATCTATGAACATTTTATACTCCATTTTTTGGACTATCTTACTATCGTAGTAAACAAAAGAGAACAATTGAAGATTGAAGAATTGAAAATTTTCTCCCCTTTCTGGCCTTTTTGGCTATACAGGGTTTTATCCAGGCAAAGGGAGAGAACAGAGAATGAATGTCAGAGTTAAAAGGCGTTTGTCTACTCAACCACCCTGTCCCCGTTATTTATTGCTAATATATAAATCTGAGAAAAATTGAATGCAATGGTTTTTATTCCTATTTCAGATTGGAAAACTGTTATTTTATCTGTCAATTGTAACCTCTGAAAATTATCAAATTTTTAAAAAGATATGTCAAATGGAATAGTTATAATATTCAACCAAATAAACAAAGATTTTTCAAAAATCTCACATAATATGTATTTGCACTTATCTCTTCAATTGAGAGCCTGACTTTGGTCCACTGTGCGGCAGTTGGTAACAACCTTGTAAGGTGTAACCCTAAGGAAGTACTCTACCTCTGTTAGGTCTGTTAAGCTGGTGCATGAGTCTTCTAGGACAACTGGGTATCGCAGCTATTTACTGGGCATGTAGGCTTCCGTGTCAAGTTCTAGAAACATAAAAAGAATATTGACTTGTTATGTCCCAGCTGCAGCGAACTAGAGACTACCGAGTATATTGTCATTGCCAATACTGCCTAAGCACTTAAAGCCAAGCTGATGAGGGAACAGGGGTCTATATCCTAAAGGAAACAGTGTGCTTCAGCTACTGACAGCGAACGACAACTATTGGATTGTCCAGAAAATGATGCAGGATTTTCTTCAAAATAACCCCTCTATATAACAAACTGTTTACGTTTACTAGATTATTTATTTGGATGAATGTCAACACTAATTAATCCTCTTCCAAACAATAATGTTTGTTTACTTCTGTAGCATTTTGCTGCTAGAAATAATTCAGTGTTTACTAAGGTATCAACTCGTGATTTTCATATTATTTTCTTTTACGAGTTTAAACTAGGTTGGAATGAGGTCCAGATGGTCAGAAACATCAATCAAGTCTAGATTGAGAGTAGTATTAATGAGTGCACCATTCAACGGTGGATCAAAAAATTTCGGGAGGAAGAGTGCATCCTTGAGAATAAAGAAGTTCGTAGAAGGACTTCCTCTCTTGATGACAATGTTCTGCAAGCATTGATGGAAGAAAACCTCAGAACAACTGTTTGAAAACTTGCAAGGAAACTTAATCTCAGCAAATCGACCGCCGATGACCACCTCAAGGCAATTAGAAAGGTAAAAAGCTTGAAAGTTTGGTTCCACACATTAAACAACCACCAAAAAATTACCACCAGTGTTATGAAGTTTGTGCTACACTTCTTTGCCGAAACAAAAATAATCCTTTTCTGTCCAGAATTGTTACTTCTGATGAAAAATCGATACTTTAAGGTAACGATAGACATTCTGGACAGTGGCTCGACAAAGGAGAAGCAGCAGAATTTTCCAAAGCCCTCAATTCATCAAAAAAAGGTGATGGTTTGATACACTATAGCTTCTTAAATCCTGGAGAAACCATCAATCCCGAATCATATTTTAACCAAATTAATTCAATGCATCATAAAGTGGTAATAATGAAGCCATACTCTTTATTTTTTACCTTACATGAATAGTATTAGCTTAGGTTATTCATCTGGTTATAGGTTCCCTTAGGAATCTTTTGCCAAATAATGTGGCATTCTTGGTTCTGTAAAAGTGCCATGATAAATTTGTTTAAATAATTCCAATTGTTTAAGGTCTAGTCCTTCCAATAATGATATTTATGTGATATATGATGTATTTTACTTACCATTGGTGCCCTAAAACTGCTATATATGTTTTAGATATTTTGTTCTTCATCATTTACCAAATTTAAAATTCCTCGACTCACGTGTCGTTAATGATAAGGAATGGAATGAAGGAAAGACAAGGGGACAGTACATGAATATTGCAAGACCAAAAGTAATCAATAGTTCAAATTTTGTTAGTTTTTTTACACCCTGTTCTTAGTCAATAATTAAAACTGCTTTACAGGCCTGTTATTCACAAACAATTGTTGAAGAAACGAATGAAAATAAATTTAATACCCCACTACCACATAAGTTAAGAGATCCGGATGATCATCAAGGTATATATTTTATATTAATCTTATAGTAAATAATTTCTTATAAATAAGTTTCTTATCTCATTATATTATTCAAAGAAAAAACAAATTACTAATTTTAGATATTTTCAATACTTTTCATAATATAACTATTTTTCTTTCTTATGATGGTTTTTATCCCTTACATACTATTTAAGTGTGTACTGTTCTGAAGATACGTTCTTTTTTATTATTCATATAACTTTCAGTAATTATATTTCATGTTTAAGTTCTAATACACATATGTAATAGTTAAGTAATTATTTTATGTATATATTTTTTTTAGTGTGATAATATTATTTCAAATTTGAATCTATTAGTCTAAAATGAGTATCATTTGCCAGCTTCTATTGACATGGCTATCCTAGTCACCAAAAACTTTAGGACATGATATAAATTAGGACAGTTAATACTAAAATCCAGAAGCAGAAATTGTGTGTTCTTCAACTTGGTTACTCCTTTAAAAAAATTAATATAATTACCTTTAAATAATTTTAATAGTTTAATAAGAATAAAAATGTCAACATCGATAATATCTCTTTACAAAGATATTATTAAGTTCATGGAAATATATATATATATATATATATATATATATATATATATATATATATATATATATATATATATATATATATATATAATCTATTTCATATAATTAAGAAACTTTTACTTTATAACTTTCTATATTTTTCAGGAATTTACAGCAGATGTGTTTACAGATATACAGGAAAGCAGTCGGAAGGCAACAGGTTTATTAAGAACAATGACTTGTGATTAAACTGTGTAATGAAAAAAAAAACATTTTTGTTATCTTTTTTTTATTGTTAAAAGTGATATTTTGATTACCAATAAATTTTTTTATGTTTTTAATGTTGACTACTCTATTTTACTTGCTTACTTTACCTATTAATTATCCATGTAAAAATTATTATGAACAAAAAAAAAAAAAAAGATAAATCAGACTCTAGATTGAAGAAGATTGATCAGCTTACATCTTATATAAAATGAGATGCAATAACATACAGGCATTACCATAAGCACATGATAATATTCATGAGGCCAAATGCCTTAGTCCACTAAGAAACTGTAACAATCAAATCCCAAATTCTTTTATTTGGAAAATAGACATTTTTGTTTTCCTCAAAAAACATTTTTAAAAATCAAAATAATATAAGGTGGCCAGTTTCCAATGTTTTTCAAAGATATATAATTCATTTAAAACTCATGTTTTCATTAGCTTAAGAGGAAACCTGTACCACTAACAACCCATGAAGGGTTATGGGTTCAGTACAATGTGAGGAAGTACTGTTACAAGACCAATGGTTGTGCAGGGAGGCGACAGGCCAACATCACGCTCAACCACCAGGTTTCCCCACTTAATTAATTATTTAATTAAGAGTACCCACTTTATAGAGGCTGGGTTTGCCCTCGGAGGGGTCTTCCGGCCCCAGGGTCGACCCATGGCTAATAGATCTCATATTAAGATGAAAATATATTTTATTTTGTCACAAGAGAAAAATGTTTATTTCAATATATATTTTCATTGACTGCTACCAGTGGGTAATTTCTTAACAAGCGTTTTCATTTTATATTCCCTAGTGCACATTTAATTTACTAATGTATTTTTTTAGTAGTTGTAAATATCATGAATAAAATATATATATATATATATATTCATGTAGTTCACCACTCTTTATTCAGTCCTAAGAAGTACACATATACTTTTTTATGTTGTACATTATTATTTTTTAATAAACTGTTTGAAGTCTTACATATCTTATAAATAAAATCCATGTTTGTCAAAATTAAAGTTGCATTAATTCCGCCTGTGGTCAGACTGAGTCAATGAAGAAATGAAATTTTTAAAGTTTCCTTGGCACAATTATTGGTAAAGTCGGTAGCTAAAGCAAAGTGAAAATTTAAAAAAAATTGTCAGCATGCTTACCTTTAAATTGATTTATTTTTTCCATCATTTAGACTTTCTATGTTTAACATCATTCCCCAATAGGAAATTAAATGTAGAATTCAAATATCTGATCATATTCTAGTTAAACTGAGCAGAAAAAGGATTTATTATTGTTTTTGAGGAAAAAAGAAAAAGGTCCATTTTCTCACAAATGAAAAACAATATGGGATTCAAAAATAATGATTTCTTCGTGCTCCTGAGAGCATTCGACCCACTCAATAATGTCATTTCATTTACTTGAGATGAACTTTGTATAATAAAAGGTAAATAAGAGAATCATCAAAGAATACATAATACTTGAATTTATTTAAGCCTGTGCTAGACATGAATTCAGCACATGCTCACTTCTCTTCTCTGCATCCTACAAAATTTATAATAGAATGTAAAAAATGAATTATTTATGTTTTTGAAATCCAGAATCCCATTAAGAATCATCAGTCTTATTTGATGAACACAGGACGTGCAAGAATAATAAACTGCTTAAGTTTTCCATAGAGCCTATCATCATGATAATCATTAATCTGGGAGGAACACATTGAAACTGATAAACAACAATTAATTGTTTGGTAAAAGACATACGGTAAACAATACTTTTTTATACAGACATTGTATTTATTAAAACAAGAAAATCTCTAAAAATTATTTTTATTTTTGGATAAATTAATTTAAAAATATAACATAGCATATACCACTGTAATACTAACAAAATATAAATCAAAGAAAAATATGATTATTTAAACTATTTAATATTATCTTAAAATAAATAAAAATTACTTTCATTAATGTTTCCAATTTGATTAAATTAATTGTGATGTTCATTCAGTCTTACATTTACACTGTCTTAAAATATTCTATTGATAAATGCAATATTATTATCAATATCATTTGAATTCAACACTTAACAAAATAAGGTACATAATTTTATTTTGCTATAGACATCAAAACACTAAGTTTTGAACTAGTGCACACAACCGTAACCGTGATGTAATGTATATTGATTTAATGAACCTTAACCATTAATACTCGTAATTATCTCTAAAATTACATCACATTCATTAACACAAGCTCTTAAAGTTAAAAAAAAACTCTTGAAGGAATGTTCCATCATAAACACCACAAATGAAAATATTTAAGTAAATGCATTTTTAAGAAAATCCTGATGCCTCCTTTTTATTGCTTTTGTTTTTTCTTAGTACTTTTATCCTGCTTTTGAAAGAATTCTTTCTTCTTAATTGGATCTGGGATGATCTGAAAAAACAAAAAACAAATAAAACTCATTCAAGAACACTAACAAGGAAATAGAGATATTCAGGTTTTATCAAACATTACATCTTACTTATTTAAATATTATATATAATGACATAGTAATAAGTTGCAAATTTCATAGAGTTACAATACTTTTAGAATTTTTTTTTTTTTTTTTTTTGTGGATGTTTAGGACAGTAGTAAAAGAAAGAAGATTTAATTTACCTTCATTTTCTGGAGGATAGGAGCTAGGAACTTGTTTGTAAAAAATTTATTAACAACCATTGATTTATCCATTTTCACTATGTCACACACACCATTTTGTGAGACTTGATAATTTGGAGCCAGGAAATCTCAAAACATGTGTTTCTATCTATTGAAGAATTACTAGTTCCTCCACCAATAGTAGTACAATACAAAATTAAACATGATCCATAAAATGAAAATCAATTACTAACCGTATCCTGTCCAGGTTTCCATCCTGCAGGACATACTTCGCCATGTTCATCAGTATATTGAAAAGCTTGGACAAGCCTTAACGTTTCATCAACACTGCGACCCACGGGTAGATCATTCATAGTAATCTGTCTCAGTATACCACGATGATCGATAATAAATAGACCTCTAAAATGAACATAGGACAGTTAAATGCTTAATTCACTGTTATAAAAATAAAAAAGCAAAAGCAATTTTTTAACATATTTATAATAATCTCAATAAATACATCAATAATGAACAAATTAAAATTAACTGAATTAGTAAACCTATTATTAAAGATCATAAGAGAATGTTAATGCAACCAGATGACTCTATCAAAAAAATTATTCTTATATAAAGTTAATACAATACATCATACTAATATTAAATCAATATGGTGTTCATAAAAAAAGTATGTGTGTATATATATGTGTGTGTATATATATATATATATATATATATATATATATATATATATATATATATATATATTTATAATTTATTTTCTTATAACAATAATCAAGTTGAAGAATTGACTAGTTGATAAATCAATCATGAATAATATTTTTAAATTACATCTTTAGAGTAGGGTAAGTAGTCGAGTGATCATCAATTATAAGGATGAAACAAAATTGTCAGGAATTTCACTCAAGATATTTCTATTGGGTCAACCGACGTTTCGACCTAAACATGTGGGTCATCCTGAGTCTTGAGTCGAAACGTCAGCTGATCCATTAAAAATATCTTGACTGAAATACCTGACAATTTTTTTACATTCTAAATTACATCTTGTTTTTATACATATATCCTTCAGATATTGTTTGGACACGATGAAGACCAACAAGTTGGTAAAGAAGTTGGATAACAATAAATAATTTACAACTATATGTCTTTGAAATACTGCAAACCGTATATTTGTTTAATTTTTATTATGATTTAAGTTAAATATTAATATTGAGAATAACATTTCTGAAATATTGGACATCTTTACCTTAGAGTGTGGCCAGCATCTTCCAAATAGACACCATAATCTTTGGAAATTTTATGAGTTAAATCTGAAAGTAGAGGAATTTTCAATGGTCCAAGCCCACCATCTTTTCTAGGAGTATTCATCCACGCTAGATGAGTAAAGTGTGAGTCGACTGAACATCCCACCACTTCTGTGTTTAATTTTCGGAATTCTTCTATTCGATCATTAAAGGCAAGTATTTCCGTAGGGCAAACAAAAGTACTGAAATAGCAAATCATTTGACTTATAACAATATGTTCATGTTAAGTAAACGATAGACAAATAACAATTACACAAAATATTAATAGATAAACCACTAGAGAATTAATAAGGCTACACAATAAATAAGTTCAGGAAATGTAGCCAGTAAATGTAATTCCAACAATAACATCTTTACAGCTGAAATGAAAATTATGCTTGATGAGCTGAATCTAAAATGCTAATAGACATATCAAATAATAAGCAGAATAGTATAGAAGTCATAATTTGTTTCTTTATAAAATATTTAATAGGATCTCCTATTAAGAACTTAAACCATTTACGGACAAGAGGAAAGATGGGCTACTTTGGAGACTTGAGGAAGGCAGATGGGATAATTTTCTTTTCTTTTACAATTTCCTTTATCACAAATAACTAAACGATTGTAAGATTTTGTTTTTTGAAATTTCATATTGTATAAATGATATAAAATAGCTATCTATTATTTATATAATTATTTATGCTTAAATTTGTATTTTCTTCTATGATTTTTTTTCTTTAGATTCTATGATTTAATGCATTTGTTTTGGTTTCCATCCTCCTCAATTCGTGATAAGGTCACAACTCAATAGCAGATCATCTGACACTTTCAGAAGAGAAGGGGGTGGGAGGAAGAGGTAGATGGAGGGAGAGAGGGACATGGAACTTAATTTTATTAAATATTAATAAATATAAATTTAGAAAAGATAATTTTTTGTCCTGTTTAATGAGAACTAATCAAAGCAGACAAGTATTTTTTTTAATTCAGCATTTAAAAATCTGTTGATAATAAATTGATATACTTTCAATCTTAACCGAATAGAGCATATATACGCTTGTTGTATCAAGTATAAAATCTAAAATTTTATAATACTATTCAAATTTGTGCCATCAATAAAATAGTTTGATTAAATAAAAAATATTAAAACAAAATTTAATTTAATTAATTAAAAACAATCATACATTTTGTAATATTTAGCACTTAGCTTAAAATTAAATAACAGTTATAAATATTTTATACATTTAACAATTTAAAATTGTTGGAAATCAAACATACTTATTAAGTTCTTATCATCCTGTAACTGATTAAATAAACTAAAACCAATCCTGTTTTTTTTTTTTAATAGACATAAGGAGTGGTACTTACAAATCCAATGGATAAAAGAAGAATACTAAATATTTTCCTTTAAAATCAGAAAGCTTGAGTTCTTTTAATTCTCCATTGACAACAGCTGTACCTTCCCACTCAGGTGCGGGTTTTGAAACTAAAAATTTAATTTCATGAAAATAGCGATTAGATTAGATTTATTACAATTAATTTTACAACATTAGACTATAGAACAGGGTAAAACCTAATTTTTATTCATAAGTTTTAAATATTTGTACATATAATTAGAATAGAAAGATAATTTTTAATTTATAAACTTATTAGAATATTGTATATGCTTTTAATAGTTCAATGTAATAAATTCGGCTTGACTGAAAACTTACTGACAGCTTTGGTCCACTGAAGCTTATGATCAACACTTTTGACATACGAACTTTGGGGATAAACACTTCCACCAGCAAATGAATGACAATTTTCTTCAACAAAACTACTTATCTGTGTAATACACAACAAAGTAAAACTAAATATCGTTTTGAAAGATGACATATTGAAGACAATTCGTTCCTACCCGGCCGCCTACTGCGATAAGGTCACAACAACATCAGTGATTGTGAAGCTTCGGCTTCAGTGGCTTATAACCACATCAGTGGTTTCAGTGTATGTAAACAACACGTTACAGGTTATCATTGGTTACCATTTTCAAGAGGATGAATTAAATGTTTCTATTTAATTAAATAAGATAGAAACATTTAAATTGAATTATTAAAGCTGATTCTTAGATAAATAATGGAATCACCAGGAAGTATGACATTTTAATGTTTTATATATTTTACCATTTTATTGTATTTATCAGTTGTTCCCTTGAGATAAGTGGTTCATATGAAGTGAAATATGTGTTTGAAGTAAGTTAAGAAAAAAAAACTATTTATTTTCGAATTTTGATTCAGTACAGCCTTCTTTTATTATATTAAGCAGCATAACCGAGATCTTTTCACTACTATAAATATGCAGCAATTGATACCTCATTTAATTTGAAAATATTCAGGATCATCATATTTTAAGTTAGCTATGAACTTCGTCTGCATTCAGCTGTTAGAGATGCATATCATCCATATATTTCAAAACTTCACTAAGTACATTTTTTATATAGCAAAACTTTTGGATACTTTTTTTTAAGTTTTGAACTTATTTATCAATGCGAAAAATGTGTAAATTTAGAAGAGTACCTGAATTCCACAAATTCATTTATACATCTAGAATAGTTACACCAAGTGCACAATGCTTTGGTTTGACAGAGGAAATTCATCAAAGTACTACTAATTGCAAGACAAATATAATTTTTTTTTAAAGTATGTAACATCATGTATTGTTAATTGTTAAAATTATTATTGATTGAAATTTTTTATATTATAGAGATGAATATGGTGCAGGTCGCCCAAAGCTTCTCTAGAAATAAAGTTAATTTTTAAAATAAAAATAGAGACTGTCATTGGTATACAAATATCCTGATCTACTAATTACTAAGTGATTTTAATGTGATTTGATGAATTTCTGTAATAAACCCACAGTATATTTTATTGAAATTTTATTCTAGCCATTTGTTCTGTATTGTTATGCTTTTTATTAAACTATTTTCTGGTTCCGAGTACATTAATATGTATATGTTTAATATAACCGAATATTGTGGTAATTATTTCATTATTAAATATGTCATAATTACATTAGTTCTGTGTAATGATTTACCCTTTGGCATATTGATGATTGATTATTAAAAGATTAAATCTTGTAACAGTAATTAAAATGTAAATGTTAACTTATTTTAATTGGGTTGATTACTATGTAACTTCTTAATCAAAATTATTTGTGTTGTTTAGTATTGCTTATATTTTTATGTTCTAAAATTTCAGCTTCACAAGATAGTTCAGCATCTCAGAGTTCTTTAAAAACAAATGAAAGTGGTCATGCAATTAAAATAAGTGGTAATAAAAGCAATTCCATCCTGGTCAGCCCTCGCCAGGTATTTTTCCACATTTTTTCTTAAAAAAATAAAATAGGACTATGAATGTTCATTTATATTTCTTATTTATATCTGTATAGAGAGGAAATCCTTTGCTGAAATCAATAACAATTGTTCCTTGGGAATATGAAGAAGACATTATACCTGACTATGTTATGGGAAGAACTACTTGTGCATTATTTCTTTCTCTGAAATATCACAGTTTAAAGCCAGATTACATAAATGATAGACTGAAACTTCTAGGGAAACTGTATGATCTCAGAGTTTTATTAGTTCATGTAAGTCATTTTTATCTAAAGATAATTGTTCTGAGTTAAGAAAAATGGTAATTCTTTAAAGCATCTCTTGAACCATTGACAGTCTGTTAGCATTCAGTATATTGCTGCCTATCTACTACGATGTTTATTTCTCTAGATAACAAAATCTTGTGCCTTTTCTCATTGGAATAATACCTTTTTAACGTTACCACTTTTAACTGGAAATTGTTTTGCTATATTAGTAGACACATTCACCAAAATACAATAATCTATAGCTATTTCATTTTAACAATAGCTTTTTATGTATTGCCAAAAGTATCATCATTTTAGCTTAATAACCCATAACTAGTCTAGGCCACCTCTGAAGCATTTCCCTATCGACTCATTCCTACAATGCAGCTGTCCAGTTTGGATTTTAGATTTCTTGAGTTCATAGACACTCTATCCAGCAACCTTACTAGCCCTGTGCAGTTCCTCTATCATGAATATTTTCGAATCATGGATTTATCCATTCAAAAGACATGGTCTGTCCAGCCTAACCTTCCAATTTTAATGAACTTAAACACGTCTATCTCGTTGAAGAGTTCATAAAGTGCCCAATTTATGCTTTAGAGCCAGAAAGTCTTATCTTTTACACGTCTAAGGAATTTTTGGGGAATCCTCAGCTCAAATCTCAGAAGTTTCTCTTTTTCTACTTTGGTGGCATCCCAAACTTCTAACCTGCAGATCAAACCTGTGAGCATTTAGTGTCTTGTAAAGATGAATTTTAGCTTTGTTGCCCAGAGACCAACTTGAATGGTTTGATAGTCTGAAGAAATATCGATTAGTATCCATTATTCTTCTCGCTATATCTAGGCAGTGTTCATTCATTGAACTAAGTTCTATATTTAGAAATATGAATTCGAATCAACCTGCTGGAACGTATAGAGTCATATTTCTTAGTATGGTTCTTAAATCTCCTAGTGTGCCAATATGCTTATATTTTGTCTTCTGCTAATTGAGTTCTATCTCCTTTGGATTCTCCTTGAAAGCCATAAAAGATATGCTATGATACTGAAATCATCAGTATAACCTAAACATTGGTCCAAGCTAGAAAAAGTACTCCCGGTAGTTTGGATTCCTGCTGAATTTATTATATTATTCTAAATATTAAAATTTAATCAAAAAGAAAAAAAAATTATTAATGTAGCTGAGTTGCTCAAGTGCCTTGTTGTTTGTTAAATATCGAATGATTTTTATGCGGCTCAATTTGCTCATCGGACCTGTAAAGAATCTCCCAAGGAAGACCATGACAAATATTTAATAGTAAATCATTTTTTGAAAAACAACTCAGTTTCCATTTAGAGTGCATGTCATGCTGCTATGTGGCTTATGTCTTGTCATCATGAACTGAGAGGTACATCATTAGTTGCTTCTCATGGCCATCATACAGTTGTTTGTGTGTTTAGTTTCATTTTGTAGTATCTTTGAAATGGAAAATAGATCTTCAGATATTTAAAATGCAATATATCTTTTGATTATTATAGTAGTATGATTTTATGAATTCAGATCATTTCTATAAATGTGTAAACCATTTCCAGTGGTGTAATAGAACCTCACTATTTATGTGTTTAAATATGCATTATAAATCAATTGTTAATACTTAAAAGTCACAAATTTATAAACTTTATTAATTTCCTTTGTTTAGGTAGATATGAAGGATCCTCACCATTCTTTGAGGCATTTAACACGTGTCTGTCTTTTGACAGATATGACATTAATGTTGGCATGGAGTTATGAAGAAGCTGCAAAAATAATTGAAACTTATAAAGTATTTGAACATAAACCTCCAGATTTAATAATGGAAAAAGTTGAATCTGATCCTCATATAAAGGTTTTTGTTTTTTTACGTTTACGTTTTATGCCTACTGTTCACTATGAAATATGAATTTATTGAAATTTGGTTGTTACAAAAAAAAAAAGTACATTTGTCAATATCTATTAAGAGTGTAAGGCATAACAAAATCATATAAGATTCCTTTCTAGTTGATAAAATTTTTATTATTATCAAAACAACTGTAATTATTTAGATGAGTTGGTTTATGCGGGTTCGCAATCACCTCGGTCACGCTTTTTCATGAAATGCCGAAAACAGTCTTTTGGATAAATCCAAATGCATTCGGCACTCCATGAACAAGTGTGACTGAAGTGATTGTGAACCACGTGTAACCCATGCGGTTCTCGTATAAATAATTACCAAAACAACTTTTAGTATTTATTTATGGGCTGTAGTCAGAGTGAAGTACATAAACAGATTTATATACTCACAACTTTCCTCTATTTACTTCTTTAATATAAGATCTCTATCTACTGACTTGTGCACCTAACAACTTTCATATAATGAATGGCTTTTATTTGTCAAATTCTTAAATCTATATTTGTCATTTATTCTATCAGATCTCTAATTATTGTAACCACTGTTCTTATATAAACATAATCAGAATAATGTGTCTCTGGTCAAGCATGGTTATTCTCTAGAGACAAATTATATTTTATTTTATTTCAAAATATCAGCTTTACTAAGTATTCTACACAATTACTTTTATAGATGCCCTAAAAAAAAAATCACAAATATGTAATCAGTTTTATATAATTGTTTTATGCTTCTTAAAATCATTTAAATAAAATAGGTATAATTAATATCAATTAACCTCAAAATTATTGTTTACAATACGAATAATTTTACCTTAATTTCAGATTGTGTCAGCATTAACTTCTGTCCGCTCAGTTAACAAAACAGATGCTGCCACATTACTGAATAATTTTGGATCTTTAGAGAAAATCATCAATGCTACAAATCATGAGCTCTGCCTTTGTCCAGGTCTAGGCCAACAGAAAGCAACAAGATTATATAATGCACTCCATACGCCATTTTTGAAAGGAGAAAAACGGAAAAAGTTAGGAATTGCAAAGTATTTTGATTAAGTTATAATACAACTGTTTATAAAATAAAACCATTTTCCTGTCAGGGTGATTGAAGTCATTGTAATTTATATTTTCATAAAATATAAAATGTATTAAAATTAGTTTATTTATTGTCATTAGCTGTGATATTAGAATGTATTTTTATATTTCAGTATAATAAAGTTATTTTGATTTTATTGGCACCATAAAACATTTAGCCCATATACCCTGTTTAAAAAATATCTTGAGGTCTTCGCTAGAATTGATTTCTTACCATTCCATAAGTAACTGCGCCAGTAGTACCCTTAAATTTCTCACTAATTAATGTTTTACCTGTTCAAGAATCATCCTATCTAAAATAGAATTTATCACATACATAACTGTTTAAAAAAGATTAATGAGATGAGATTGTACATCACTCCAAGACAACTCAACATGAACTGTTTATATATATATATGTACACATAATAAATACTACAAGTTATAGAATAGGTATTCCAAAAGTTATAGTGATCAATTGAATCATCTGAAGTAAGTAAATTTATTAGTTCAAATGAACTATATTTCTGATTCCAGTGAAATATTAATCGGTTCATAATGAATCAAGGTCTGAAAGATTAAGGTTTTAATCTGAAAAATCATTAAAATAACCTAGTATTACTAATTAATTATTATATTTAATCTATATATAATTATTTATTTATCAAAATCCTTTTTAATCTCACAGTCTTTTAGACTTAAACTGCAGCTCAGTAGAGATAAAACGAGGATGATCAAAAAGGAAACAAATTAATTATAATAAAATAATATGTTTTAAATATTGTAAAAATATTTTAAATGTATAATAAAAGACAGATTAAAAAGGGTATTCATAAAAAAAAATATAGATTAAATATAATTACAATTTATTATATTTACTCATGACGCTGATCGACAGACGATGAAATCTGGACTGATATGTTAATTAATTTGTTAATATTTTTTTATACTTGATTTTAGTCAAGTATAATAATTTTTTACAAATTTGATTAGTTGGATATCTCAGAGTCTGACATAGTTAGTAACTTACATTCAAATCAAACCTTAAAGCCAAAAGATTAAATGCATAAAATAGATAGGTACTGAAAACTGAAGCTGTATTAAAAAAAAAAAAAAAAATCTTAGTATTTTAAACCACACATATATTGATAAACATGACCACAACTAAAACTAATTATTTGTTATATGTATAACTGAAACTTATGAGACTATAAATATACGACTTATGTTTAAAATACAAAGTTTATAGTTTAAGTTTTAACATTTAGAAAATGGATAATAATTATGGATCACCAATTTAATGGAACTTACAATATGTCACTTCAGAATTTACTTTTTCTCATCACTGACTATAACCCAATATAATGCTGATTAAGTTATTTTTCATGCTGATTGCTGATTTAGTAGAATAGTCTGTAGTACCCTGTCAGTATATTACGTGGTGTTATTAAACATTATTTTCTATTTAATATATTTATTTGCAGCATTAAATAAATTAAGTTTTTGTATTTTTACTAATCTATAAACCTTAACTTAATTTACTATAGATAGTAATAATTTCTTCTCATTTTTATCATTTTTCAATATTCTAGTTATTTTTTTAACTTAAATGAAACAGCCATTCTACTTAAGATTTTATTGACTCATTTAACCAGAAAATATAAACAACTAATATTCCTTCTCATAAACAACTAATATATGATTAGCAATAGAGGAGTGTTGTTAAAATAAGGTAGAACAAATAGAATGTGTGATAGAATGAAGCCTTCCCCCCCCCCCAAAAAAATGGTAAAATATTATCATGTTTTATCGAAAAAAAAATTTAAAAAGCATTTCTTTAAGTATTATTGTCCGTGTAATTACATTTAAAAGGGCTTTAGGAATCACTTAAATACCATTTCATACAGGTAGTTAGTTTCTTTGTTTTTTACCAAAGTAATTATCGTTATTTTTATGAAAAAAATCTTTCGGGCTGAAGCCCCCCCCCCTCCCCCAAAAAAATTAAATCCTGGATCCGCTAGTGCACCTGTATATGCATTTTTTCACTCTGTTCAAATCTTAATCCATTAAGTATTTGTTAAGAAGATAAATACATATGCCATTGCGTATTATACTAAAAATATAAATATATATTTTTTCTTGTGAAACCGATGTTATGAGAATTGACAAGTTATAATAAGCGATGTCAAGACAACCGTTTTTAGTTATACTGCGCGGCTTTTTTGTGAAATGATTTAGAACATATTTTTAAAAAAAGAAAGAAACTTTTTCGATATTTGTTTATTGAAAATACAAACTAATCTTATTTAATGTTTCAAAATAACATGTTATATTTCAAATTGTTGAAATCTGAATTATATAAACATTAGAGCGCCAAATTTTCAAACCGCGGAATGATGCTTCGTTGCAGGTCTATACCTGCAACCAAATCAAGCCTTCTGATTGGTCAGTGTTAAAAGAATTTTCACAGTCGTGTCTTAACTTGTGTTGTGAGTGCTTAATTTTGAAAAAATGTTGAGAATCAGGCTGTATGAAGATATCTGCAAGGTATTTATAAATACAGTCACCATCAATTAGTTTAAGATTTATTATTTGTTGACGTAAAAAATTATGTACCTGTCTTATCCATGTATGTATTTACTGTATGGCCGTTTTGAAAGAAGATATGAGTGATAACTGAAATTACGATTATTTTCCTGGTTGAAACCATATTTGATTCTATATGATTATGAAAGTGATTGGGTTATATCCGTATTGCCATTTTAAAAAGCATGATATAGTAACATTTATCTTCATAAAAAAACTTACTAATATTCATTTAAAATAATTTTATTGTATTAGTGATGCAATAATTCAGAAGTACAGGTCCATAATTTACAATACTAAAGTTAATCATAGTGTCTACGAGGAGTATTTGCTACAATTAACAAATTGGGCTGTGGACTTTTAATTTAAAGATTTAAATTTTGTCTTAATTCAGTCAATTGATTGTTCCTTCGGATGTTTGTATTGTGTAAGATAATTGATTAACAGTTGTTAGTTAAAATAAATACATGAAAAACAAAATTTCAATCTAACTGTAATCACAATAAAAATATTGGACATCGGTAGCTAAATATGACTACTAGTTAAAATTACACCTAAAAGTAATTTTTCCTGTGATATTAATTCTATGATATCGAATTTCGAGTAATAACGTTGGAGCAAATAAGCGATATGAAAAATTGAAATGTATTGGCCCCTTTCATGGTAAATTAATGATCACAAAAACTTTCAGTTATTAATATCCTAATCTATAATATTTGTTAGCAATTTTTCAAAATAATTTAATTTAAATTATGGGATTATTAAAATAATTTTTAATGATCATTAAACAGATTTCAATCAGAACCATAAAAATTGAACTAAACACAACATTACGATATAATATAACTGTATAAGGTACGGAGCATATTATACATATGTCTATAAATATGCATATATATATATATTTGATACTTGAAACATAAATTTGATGAAATAAGTATTAAGCTTCATGTAGGATTTCAAACTTGGCGCTCTAGAAAAGACTGATTAATGTGCCATTGAAATGGCGCCAATTTTGAAATCCTACTTGAACCTAAACGCTTATTTTATCAAATTTAAGTTACATGTGTCAATAATTGGTGCCTTCAACTTATATAATTTTAAGTTTCCTGATTTCATTCTAGCTTGCATTTAGATAGCACAAAGGTTCTCTCAAATGGTGCCCCAAGCATATTGCTCCCAGTACCGCGGCAACAATATTTAATTTAAATATTTATGGTCAATTAGGATAACTGTGTTAAGACTTTTTTTTAGTTCGGCATAGGAAATCATGAAAATATTTTAGGCAGTGCCAAAACATTTGAAAATCTTTGGGAGCGTATTACATATTAACGATGCCGCGGCTGTGTTAATTCATTATTAAATCGATAGAGTGCAAATAAATGACAAAGTTTGTTGATCTCCAAATTGAAAACACCCCAATTCCGAGAATTTTCGTAAATAAAATAGTTGTAGGTTATGGTGAGATAAGCTATTTACAATGTTTCAGGCAGATGTTAGTAATTTTATGAAAATGGGTCTGTACCTCTGACTATATCATAGCGACTTACGCAGACGATACAACAGTTCTAACAAAGAATAAAAATCCTACAAACGCCTCACAGACTTTAAACATCATTTAAAAAAATTAAATGATTTTTCCAAACTTTCAAAAATTCCACTCAATATAGACAAATCCCAACACATTTCTTTTACTCTTCGACGTGGACAGATGAAGTAGAATACCTCACATATCAACAAAAAAAGGAAAATGTTAAACTTCTGAATACGACTATTATACTCACTTCAACACTTTCAAGACGCTCAAAATTAAACCTAAAACAGAAAGTGAGTACTTACATTTATCTAATTAAGACCATATGAACCTAAGCTTCACAGATTAAGGGGACCACCAAAATGACCGACATAGGAAAACTACCAACTACAACTAAAGCTTCATGGTGTGTCACAAACATTATTTTACATAAAGACCTTCGCATGACATGGTAATATTTCTTCCAAATTGTCAGACCACGCTAATAGTTCCCTTCTCCCAAACTACCTCTGGGTATGCTCCTTTACTGGAAGATGGTATTTACGAAACTATTAAAATGTATTTACAGTAGTTTGGAAAATCGAAAATTAAAATAATAACAGTTCTAACCCAACAAAAATAGCATGCACAAAAGTTACACCATCAAATTTTTTGTGGGGGCACATTTTGACGGATTATTAAATTTTTTGGAAAGGGGGCACATATCGGCGGGGTCATGAATTTTTGGAATGAAAAGTTTCAAACCAAGGACAAAATGGAAGCAGAGAACAGACCGCAGCAAGTGTAATTGTGTATGATCTAAGATGTTTTAAATTTCACTTTCGTTTGTACTTTTATTAAGAAGAAGATGAGAGAAATAAAA